TTGTTTTTTTAGTTTTCCGGAGCAACTTTTCTTTTTCATAAAAAACCCACCTCAAAAGTCATTCATCCCCTACTTTACCATACTTGAATCATCAAAATGGGTTTACAACATACATTAAGAAAAAACATACAGTCCAATGAGAACCTCCTCCTTTTTAAAGTCGGTTAAAAATTAGCAGACTTGTAGATCATGACTCACGTATAAATTATTATTTCAGACCCGGCCGCTGCCCTGTGTACAACGTAACCTCAGGCTCTATCAATCCATTGCGATGGGGAGAATTTTCTAAGCTATGCATCAAATGGTCCAGAGAGAATCCTACCAAGTGAGCAAATTTTTAAATAAATAAAATAGAACATCAGGCAGAGCACATTAAACTATAAGAAAATAATGCGCATAGAGTGAATAATATCCAGGGTTGTAAAAAACTCGAGTTCAGGAGTCTATATTTTACTCGACTCCAGTTATATACACATACAAGACTTGACTTATAATGACAGAGACTCCACTGCTCGATGTAGTACGAGTCTATCGAGTTAATCTCGAATCTGTAGGGCTGGCACGATAAGACGCGACTTGAGCCAGAGCGACATAAAGCGCGATATACTGTTATTCTCGCACAGAAATCACGCGCTCTATGTCGCTCTCGCGCAAGTCGCGCCCTATTGTGCCAGCCCTACTGGTAAGAAATACTGAGCAGTGTTGTGGTTTGGACTCTTAAACTGTTGTATAATTACTGTAATATAATTAAGTATAAATATCTTTTTTTTCCTAAATCACCACATTGGATTCTAGTAATTGTTAATTTAAATTTAATACCGCTTGTTGTAATCGAGACTTTGTAGAGTAGAAATCGCTTCGAGTCGAGTTTTCGAGGTTTACGACTCGTGTCCTTTTTAGGTTAGGTTAGGTTTACGACTCGAGTCCGTGCTCTGATGACTTGAGCTAAACTCGACTCGGGCTCAAGAGTGTTTTATGCCACCGAGCCGTGCCAAATTGAGTCAAGTAGAACTCGGTAAGGCAGAGTCTAGCCGGCCAATCATCTAACCATAATGCTAAACCCAAACTATGGCCCCAACAACCTCATTTTTTTATAAATAATAGACGCTTGGCGACAATCTCACCTGATGTAAATAAACAATTAACTAACACTAGAATAGACCCAAATTGTACTTTTCGGGAATCACGATGCCGGTAGAGTATTCCATTCCTTTGTCGTACGCATCAGAAAGGTGGTGTGAATGGGTGATATGTCAATGACATAAGGATGGAGTGTTCCGGACCTTCTAGTCGACCGAAGGAGGACCGGTGAGGGTGGAACCAAATTGAAATATTCCAGCGCACACTCCCCGAAATGTATCCAATGGAAAACCGACAAACATGCTACTTTTCGGCGACGGTAGAGGTTTTGCAGCTTCGACTCCACAAGAGAATTGTTGTTAATAAGTCTTATTGCTTTTTGCTCCGTCAAGTCCAAGGCAGCTAATTGGTGATGGGCAGAGCCGTCGAGTGAGAGACAGACTCCTTGGCCGGGTTACTTGCGTACTGGTTTTCACGGTGTCGATGCCGTGACGGGTCAATGTACAAAAACTAACTTTCCCTGCATGCATTGTCTCGGGTCTTGGTGATTGTGGTACCGTTCGTTGCTACCGATATCCATAATACAAGTGCTTTAGTTATGAACTTTGGAATCAGAGCAACGTAGTGATGTTATCTAATATTCTATTATTCAGATTTTATTTTGTTAAAAAACTCCACTAATTCTGTTATGATAATAATACAAAGATCGAAAAAGTACATAGAAAAATTTCTTCGACTCAATGAGACTTGAACCCATGGCCACGCTGTACCGTAACCTTGCTCTTACCAACTGAGCTACGGGTCAAGTTGTCGATGTGTTTTTGTTATAGATCTTTGTTTACTGGTTTTCGGTATTTGGCGCCGCTAGTCACATCTAGTGAGAGATTATAGATCCTTCTCACCGCAGCCGATTTATCTCATAAAAATTTTCATCTATCATCTACCTGCTTACTGGGTCAAATAATTATAGGTAACACTAATTTGATATTTTATTGGTTTTTCTCATTGATTCGGCACGAAACCTATCTCTGAAATCGCCGAATTATTTATTGTATTTTTATTGTACTTTGCTTTATATTTTTATATGTAACTAACGATTGCTTTGTTACGTAAAAACATAACCATTTGGTTTTGAGTTTCATAATTCCCTGACTCTTTCAATGCGCTTTTTTTTAAGTTTTCTTGAAACATACATGACATACTTGTGTATGTGAACGCTATCTATCTTTGAAGGTAGTTAACTTTTCGACTAAATCGTATTCTCCCCCTAAAATCCCCCGTCTCGTTAATATCAACTTTCTCTTAAGATTAGTCCACTCCCGCTTTGTCTATGTCCTGTATAAATTCTCCTATCAGCGAATTCTATGGAAATTCACCGGTCAAAATCTAAGTAAAAAGAACGCGTGTCTTCAACGCGTGTCTTCCTTAACTTGACATTGGCGGAATCGATGGAACTATTCAAATTCAAATTCAAATTCAAATTCAAATTCAAATATTTATTTCAGATAAAATCCATATAGAGTTAGTAAACCAAACAACTTAAGAACTAGTGTTAGTATTAATATTATTATAATTTGAAAGACTACTTATACATTTAAGATAGTGTGGAGCTCTATCCACCTACGCAGGAGTGGCGAGTCCCACCGATCTTTAAACACACACAGGATGCCGTTGGAGCTATCACGGAGGCGGCTTAGCGCAGATGCACACCTTTTCCTCATGATGGCCATGAAACCGTCCATCTGAGCCTCGGCAAACATCCCCGATGCACTACACCTCCACGGAAGCCCCATCAGCACCCTGAATGCGTTATTAAATTGAACACGCAAATCGCTGTATGTCCGCCCCGAATACGCGACCCACAGACTGCACGTGTACAGCACTTGACAGTAGGCTTTAAATAGTGTAATTTTTACTTGTTTAGTACAACGTGCAAATCTGCGAGCCAACATATTACCGCGAACAGCCAGCGTGGTTTATACTATAGCATTATAAAGAAGAAGAAGACTTAATCGTTCTAAAACTAAGATTGCTCTATCGTTCACGTCTTCATTATATATCATAGTTAATTTATATTAATACAATTACCATTGCCTTCAACAGATACGTGATGTGGTACCCCAACTTCTCGTTCACGCAGTCACGATTCATGAACACCTTCTGGGAGGTGTCCTGCCATTTTCTGCCTGCGTTTCTTTACGACATCCTCCTCAGGGCTCAGGGGAGAAAAGCTATGTGAGTGTCTTGGTACAGATAACTTGTTGACAGGTTTCTTTCGACGATTGATTAACGGCTTGCAAACTACTTACATCGATTTCGGGCCCAAATATATTCCACGATCTTCTGAATTCCTAATGTTTCTGCCTTTAAAGGGCCTCCTCAAAACCTCTAAATGGCTTTGGTTGAACAGTAAAAGTATTAAATCAATCTCTTTGGAAAAAGCATAGAGTAAAATTAAGGATATGCGCAGATTTCTACTTCTACTGCTGAGAAAAATTGTCTAGCACATTTAACGTCTAATATTTCTAATTCTTTATGAAAGATCCCTTCTTTCAGCATGATGAAACTAGCACGTCGATTCAAAATGGCGGCGGCTACTGGCGAGTACTTTGCGAACCACGAATGGCAATTCGGCATCTCTGAGGTATCTGCATTGCACAGTGAAGCAGAAGCAACAATGGATGGCGGCAATTTCCCAAACTGGCCAGTCTTCGACTGGGACGAGTACATGGGCACGTATATGATGGGCATCCGGCGGTTCATCTTGAAGGATTCCGCTGAGTCTTTGCCGCAGGCTAGGAGGAAGCTTGCCAGGTGAGAATTCCAGCAATGTCCTTTTTAACCAACTTCAAAGAAAAGGAGGAGGTCATCAATTCGATTGTATTTTTTTTTTCTTGTAAGTCACGCGGTTACTCCAAGATTTTTATGAATCGATTTTGATGATTATTTTTTTGTTGGAAAGAAGGGCGGCAAACTAGGGGGTGAATCTGAATTCAAAAAAACTTGGCTTTAATGATGATTTGAGGTCTGTGTTTTTTATAAAAAAGTTGTATTGCTGCCCAGTCAGACAAGATCTATGCTCTTGTCTTGATCTATTCTCGTTTCGCCCGTCATCGTTAACCCAGACCTTTTCCACCGAAGACGCGGAGAGAATAAAAATTTTGCCATAATAATTTCGTTTCTTTTCTCGTCTCGCCTTGCCGATGGAAAGCTTTTCAGAAATGTAGGTTTCTTTACAATATTTTCCATCATAGTTAAAGAAAATGATAATTACTGCTGATGATTTGGAAAGGCTTATTGGTGCTGGCTTTACTTTGAAATTAAAATCTATATTTTAGTTGTAAACAGAACGTATACCTATATATAGTACCAAAGTCATATAATTTATTGCTTTATGTGGTGCAAAATGTCTTAAAGCTATAATTACATTTCAACAAAAACCCTATAAGGGCACTGCAAGTAACTTACTTCACTTACTAATAGGTACACATAGATTCATGTCAACTTAACTTACTACACTTTACACATAATATCATGTACTTTTATCGAAATGCTCATAGAAACAGTTCAAGAGCAAGCATTTGCGAAGACGTAATTATTTTCAATGTTTCTTATTATAAGAGGTATTTTGTTATAAACTTTTATTGGTATATCCTGTGCACCCGAGTTAACAATTTCTAAATTTGTAAAAGAACCAATTTGTTTCGCGGTCTCAAATTAGCTACTTAAGGATTATCACTTTCTTGTCCAAATAACTGTCTGTATTTCATTACAAACTAACACATTTCAAATACGTACACTGATGTCAAAGTCAAAACGTTAAAACTACAAAAATGTGGTCTACAAGTATCTGTTTCCGTTATGTTTGCCAATACTCTCATGCATTTCTCCTGCAGAATAAGGAGGTCGCTGGCATGAGTACTATACCTCACAAAATGACACCATAAGTAAGCCAAGCTTGCCCAAAGGCGTAGGTACTATGAAGACAAAGCGGTTTTTAAGTTTGAACACTCCTACATATCGGGAAAAAAGATTCCTATATCTCCGGAATAAAAAACTTAAAAAAAAATTATTTTTTTTGATAACGTCATTTTTAGGCTACTGATCGTTCACTACGCTGACCTCCCTGAGAACAACGAGCAAGAAACTCTAGGGATTGCTCTTTTCAAATAAACTTAAATGCTATGGAATACACTTTGAATCATAATTGTGTGGAATCTAGACTCTTGTTGTCTTTCCATACTTCTTTATCTAAAACATACTCTTCAGTTTTGTAATATGACTTTTCAATTAAAATACTTTTAATGTAAGTTTTAAACTTAGAAAATGATAATCTTAATATATTCTCCGGAATCTTATGGTAAATATACAGTTCTTACTTACTTAGTTAAACGAAATCGTGGTACTATGAGTCTGACTTAGTTCTAAGTTTAATATCATGGATATCTTCTTTCTTAATGAAATTATGTATATTTTTACGGGCACACAAAATATTTGAGTAAATGTACTGCGATGCCACAATCATGATACCAGTCTCCTTAAACTTTTTTCTGAATGAAACCCGAGAAATATTTTCAAATAATCAAAATAATAAACATTCACGAATGTCTTGAGACGTAATTAATGTTCCTGTTTTTCTTTTATAGATTATACTGGTTCCACCGTTTGTTCCAAGTTGCGACCGGGTACTACATGTTCAAGTTCGTGGCTGGACGTATGCGGTAAAACAAAAATACGTGGGAGTATTCAAGGCTATGAAATAGGCAAACATGCAAATAGTGCATTGTGTGTTAAAGGCGGTAAATAAGGGATTATGAATTGAAAGCCCAAAGTCGAAGAGAGCTTTCAGATTCGTAGTTCGAAATTCCAATACCGCCCGTGAAAGTTTCAATATTTTTCATCATAATTGCGAGTAAATAGAATAACTGCACGCAGGCTAACTTGATTATAATGCCCCAAATAAATTGCAGCCATGGTCGTGTAATGAGAAGAAAAAGGCCCGAGAGTTTTATTTGTGGCGATATAGTCAATTTAGGCTGCATGCAATCATGCTATTTACGTGCAACTGTGATGAAAAATATATTAAAATAATGATTTTTTTTTATTTTAATGAAAATAGTTACGTAGTAAAAAAATGTTTAAATGTTTAAGCGTAAAACAATTTTTGCTTATTTGCGATGCCTCTTTTATGACGCCAGTGTAAGTTGTGATCGCAAACTCATAATGCCCTATCGTTACAGATGAAAACCAGGCAAAGTTGATATAATTGAACTAACTATTTATTTTAAATACCAAAAATAATATTTGACACATGGGTTGACGAAAGTGGACGAGTTTATGAAACAAAAGAAGCAATTGGTAATTACGAAATATTTGCTCTGAATAAAACAGTAGGTTCTTTTGCGTTCACATATTCGTTGGTCAATAATAACGGCTACTTCGTTGGTGCAGTTTGACGTTTTGTTTACGTCTATGACTTTGAAAACTGTAATAAAATCTGCGGTCACCCACCTACTCCAACCTGTGGTATGAGCAGTGAGTAAAATTACTGTAGGAACTGAATATTGTAAACTATTTTTCGGATCTAATCGCTTATATTTTGTTTTTGTTTCGGACAAATCAACGTTTCGTTATGGGCCTTTTACAGGTCTCATTGTCACATCTGAAAGACGGAAAAGTCAACAACGAGTTATGCCGATACGTCCAATCAACATTACGCCAACTTCATTTTTGGATCTGTTTTTATTTCGTTTCTTTTGTTCACTAAAGTCGATTTGTTGTTTTTCGAATTTACTTTTTTGTTTCTTTTTTTCAAAAAATTTCTAATATAATTAGTAAATAAATATTGGCTGTTTACAAAAATAACAGAAAATGACCAAAAAATTATGTTCGCTTAGTGTTTATTGGAGGTAGGTATCGATGTCTAATAATTATGCAGACCACCCTATTTTTTGTAGTTACAAAAGTTATTAATTAAATACCTTATTTTAATGTTTAAAAAACAAAATATTGTGACACTGTGAATTTTTTATATTAAATTAAACTTATTATTCTTAATGGAAATTAGAAATAAATTAAAAATTTTCACCACCACAATCAGCCGTGACCATAGGACTGGGCCTCCTTGCGTTCTCCGTTCAACATCCGTCCGAAACAAAGGCTCAATTTATATTGCCTGGGGAAGAAATGAAAACGGAATATTCGCACATGCTCGAGAATGCTCGCGTATTCCGTAGAAGATTTGGGCTCATATCTAGTTTGTACTTTACACCATGGACCATATAGTTTATTATGCTATGTACAATATCGTTACAAAAATTCATAAATCCAAAAATAAAAGTTACAATAAATTTAAGAAAAGTGGAGAAGAAGAAGAATAGGAAACCCACCGGCTGTAACCAGTGTGGTACAACACCGACGACAGGACCGAACTTCCTGCTGCCTCCGGCCACTTCGACGACGCTGCTATATCTGTCGCGGCTGCATTACTCCACGAAGTCTGAGGAGATAGTGGAGTACATCAGACATAAAGCCAAACACAGCCTGAGGGTCGAGCAGTTGGAGTCCCGCCACAACATGGTGAAAGTACCGACCGAACATCTGTCGACCTTCATGAAGGAAGAATTTTGGCCGAAGGGTGTCTTATATCGGCGGTTACCTGACACCAGATTGCGCCACTCGTCGCCGACAAGCGCAATTCGCGTAGATTAGTTAGAAATAGTATTTTATTATATTGTATATATGTTAGTCCATAAGGTATACATTATATGTGGCCTGAAATAAATAAAAATTTACCCTTCCTGTCAAATAAGTAATACCCTATCACATTAAAAGGCGCATGCGAACATTGACTTACAAATAAATGGACGACGGGTCTAATACAAAAACCACGAAAAAAATATCCCAAGTCAACCTATTTAAACGTAGCGACATGTAAAGGAATATGAAAAAGCTAAAACGTTTAATTTAAATTGTAATGTCATCGCAGTACTGTCTAATTTTGCTTGCTTCGCTGTCAGTCGAACAAACGAAGACTAGAGCGTGAATGACGCTCTGTATACGATTTTAACGCCCTATAAGTTCGGACACTTTTTAGCGCGGACCCGACGTCCATATAATTGTAAGTCAATGCATGCGAATGAAGCTTGTGTTGCTTATTTGACAGTAATTAATATACGCGATATAGATCCGAAAACACAGTTTCATTTCCAATTGCCGTCAAAGTTTACAATTACATTATTATAACGATTATTATCTATATATCTCTAATTTTCTCTTAGGTAATGCGTCAAGTTTGCGTTTCTTTGTACACGCTGTATTTGAACACACAATTAATGTACTTAGATAGGTAACCACGTAGATATATAAGAACTAAGCATAATTATGTAACTAGTTAATAACATTATTAAAGGTCGACCAATACATCCCACTGTTAAGTTCAAGATTATACCATTACTGGATGTAAAAAATTGATTCTCTACACGTCAATAACACCGTCGTTGATATAATTATAATTACAAACAATTAAAAGATCTCCGCTTAACTAAACATGAGTCAAACTTTTTGTGGGCTAGTTCTGGACATAACAGTCCTTCCGCAAAATATGAAATTATTTTTTCCCTTTTCTTTTCTAATATAATTGATTACATGTCTGTAAAAAAAAAACTTTAACCTATACATAAATTTTCAATTTTTTTCACGGGATGCGAGTTCTTTTTCGTTTTTAATCGATTCTCAATAAATACACTTTTTGAGTTAATACATTATTGTATTAACAGTGTGACATGAAGTTTCGTAAGCGCTGTAATTTTTCCTGATGACAACATGAGCTTCACCGCCATCGCCAAGACAAGCAGTTGAACTTTCGACTATATCTCGCTTGAAACGTATTGTCACATTATTATTTTAGTTGTAAATTTCAATTAAGAAGTAAATAAGAACAGGTAGAGAAATTACACAGATCCGACATCAGCAAATATCCGATGTTGAATGAAAAAAAAAAACAATGACAAGTTCAACTACGCGATTTGTCGTACATTTGTTATACAATATAAATCCGTTGATATGTTTTATTCTTATTATTGGTTTCATATATTGACAACGATTGCTAATTTTGTTTATTAAAACTGATTTGTTATAGTTGAACTATTTTTCTTTCATCTACCATTTTCCTCGCTATATTTGAGGTGAAAAGTTGTGTGTTTCTCTCGGCAGCAAAGTTGTTTTGCGTCTTGTGCCTTAAAACCCTCTCTCGCTACGCTTAGGATTCTATGTATTTTTAAACACTCTCTTTCCTCGTGGCTCAATCTTAGGCTCCTTCGCTTGCTCCATATGAGCACTCGCGTCAAAACAACAACTTTGCAGCCTTGCATAACAAACATCGAGTATATAACCAGAAATAGAGACGAAACGAGGGCCATATATTCTTGGTAGCTCATCAGTGATACAACACTTATAAATATCAACTCTCGTTTGCACTGAAATATTGTAAGTCTCCGTATATTCCAAAAATATTCTGTATTTATTGTAATAAAGATAATATCTCTAACAATGGCGTGCTGTTTTATTTGGTGGTGTGGAGAAAAACAGCAAACCATCTAATTATGAAGTGAAACAGTTGACGACATCCGTCAATTGTTTCGAAATCGGGCTGGCCAGTCGGAGCGCTGTTGTCACCGTTGTTGATATGGCAGAATAGTTTTCGAACAAATAAAATGACACTTTGTCTCTATTTCTGGTTAAATACTCGCAATGTTAATAAATAACTATTGTTAATAAGTTAAATTCATATACGAGTATAAAAAAGGTAGACGTATATTTTTGCTACGCACAGCAGTTAGGTACCAGCAAAATATTGATGACGTAATTACCTGTAAACTAATGTGTTTTGACCGTTAAATAATGTATTTTTTACAGTTGTAATATGTACCTAAACGAATTAAAATAAAACTGGTATATTACTTGAGAATAATAGTTTTTAGAATCATTTATATAAAATATTTTTAACTCTATTTTCTAATTTACTTTACAATGGATGTCGATTCTGATAATCCTGTTTCAGTTTAATCTTAAACTAAACTAATTTAATAAATCAATGCCTTACTTTCTCAAACGCGTATCTTAAAAAGAAATCAACCTGCAAATTTGTATATACAATCCATTTTTTGCATTTCAGTAACTTTGTCCTTTAAGATACGAGTTTGAGAAAGTAAGGCACCGAATTGTGAGTCAGTCAAGGGTACCTCGTTGAGGAACATTCATATTCATTTTAAAAATAACCTTGCTTTTATTCCATCGTAAGTTACCATTATCCTCTACATGGACATAGTATTGTAATTCCTTTGTATATAACACTGAGCAAAAGGGGTTCCATTTTTGAGATATTTCATAACCGCCCAAGCGATGCGCTCCTCCTACCGCAAAATGCCGGCTAATTGGTTTCGCAAATTAGAAAAGCATTCAGTTTAAATACAAGTTTTTATAATTTTTTATAAATTCTGCATTGCTAAATAAATACACCATATTTTAATAGATGGAGGTTTCGACGACCTTTGTAATACCAGCACCAGCTGTAATACAAATGGCTTTAAATACAAAACAAATAAGGTTTTGGTTTGTTTCAATAAACTAATATACGCGATTTAAATAATTTTAATTACATACTTTTTAGTACTCGAATTTAGTTTAGCTTTAATAATATATTTAATAATTTTTTAATAATACATTAAAAAAATCATCTCTCATTGGGATTTGTGAAAGTATTTTTAATAATTTTACGTTGATTACGTGACTTCACAATTAATTATCGGAAGATCGGAATGTCTTGTCATTTCTTTTACTCTCATAATAGTTAAAAAGGGACAATAATATTTCTCTAGATGCGAGTAAAGGTACTTTATGAGAGAGTTTTAATTATAATTCTTGTGCTAAATTAATATATGTATTTTATGTTAGTATGTACTCTAAAAAAGCACATAGGTAATTCAAGAACGACCTTAGAGTACCTTTCAGAAGCCTGACATCTGTGTTGATCGGTCAAGTTAATTTAACAATTGGAACTCACAGAATCGACGTCATAGTAACACTAATGAAAGCACAAGAATAAATGTGAATCAGTAGTAAAAACTGAAGTATGCAAATATGTTTTAATTAAATGTATTACTTTTATTAAATTCAATAAATACGTGATAAGTATGGCGGCATTTTACTTTATGATTCTTAATATACTGTAAAAGGCGGTAATGACAGGTGAATGATGACAGGGAATGAAAACCATCGAATATTATAACCAGAAATAGAGACAAAATGTATTTTGTCTGAAAATTATAGCCTTGCCTAGCCTTGTCAACAACGGTGACAACTGCGCTCCGATTGGCCAACTCGAATTCGAAACAATTGACGGGTGTCGTCATTGACTTACAATTATATGGACGTCGGGTCCGCGCTAAAAAGTGTCCGAACTTATAGGGCGTTAATATCGTATACAGAGCGTCATTCACGCTCTAGTCTTCGTTTGTTCGACTGACAGCGAAGCAAGCAAAATTAGACAGTACTGCGATGACATTACAATTTAAATTCAACGTTTTAGCTTTTTCATATTCCTTGACATGTCACTACGTTTAAATAGGTTGACCTGGGACATTTATTTCGTGGTTTTTGTATTAGACCCGTCGTCCATTTATTTGTAAGTCAATGGGTGTCGTCAATTGTTTCACTTCAAATCGACCCGTTTAACTTGAGCCTTGCTATAATGGACAAAAATTGAAAAATTACATATTTAATATTTAATAAGTAATTAGATGTCTTGCTGTTTTTCCCTTAGAATAATAACGCATAGAATGATAGTTTCATATCAAACGAACTGTCACAAGTGAGGCAGAAATCGAATTCATGTAGGCTAGTTTTAGTAGTAAGTTAATTTTCGGTTTTAGTGAATATTTATATAAAAATTCAAGTTGAAACGCGTTACTTCCTTGTGGAATGTGATGTTAGTGTCGATTTTATGTTTGTCTGACGTATTTTTACACTCATTTACCGCACATTTCGTCATTTTCTAGCTAAAATTCTGGAGCTGTTCGCGGTGCAAGTTGACCTTGAGCACTGACGGCCCGCCCGCTCGTGTAGGCCCTTTGGGAGCGCTTCAATTTGCCTCACTTAGCGTGTGCGGACTAGGTTTCTATGCGCTATTATTCTAAGATACCGTCCATTTTTTTAGTACAATTACAAGTTATCTATTCTACTGTTAGTACAAAAATTACAAATTC